GAGAGAGCACCGGCGAGAACACCGACGAGAGCACCGGCGAGAGCACCTGTTCAAGCGGGACAACGAGGAGGAAAGATTACCGGCGAGGAAGAGAAAGCACCGGCGGGTTAGGGCTTAGGGCGGGAGGAACCGAGAGGACGGGAAGGGAAGCGAGAACGGAAGCGGGATCTGGAAGCGAGATCTGGAAGCGAGTCGAAGGGAAGGATTTCCAAATCCCGGCCATATGCAAAGGATTTCCAAATCTCGGCCATATGCAAAGGATTTCCAAATCCCATGTTGAAGGGATTTTAATGAAAACTTGGGATTTCAAATCCTGACCATTTTACCAACCAAACACAGGATTGGAATGAATTTTAAATCTAAATCCCCCTAATTCCATTCCATTCCTGCAAACCAAACGCACCCTTAATATAATGCTAAATTCTTGTCGGATCATATTAGATGCTAAAAAAATTTGCGTACATTTTATTCACTATTTTTTAACTACTACTATATAGTATATGGTATATACGAAAAAGAAAGTGGGCCCCTATTTTCTATGGGCCCTTGGCGTACGTCCAACCTGCATGCCCCTAGGAACGACCCAATGTACGCTTGAAAAAGTATTATATGGTTTGAATGTTTGTAGACACACTTTATTATACATAGGGATGGCAACGGGGCGGGGATGGGGCGGGGTTTGCAATCCCCGTCCCCGGCCCCGGCCCCGGTTTGTGTACAGATTCCCCGGCCCCGGCCCCGTCCCCGGTCAACTCTCGGTCAACCCCGGTCAAACCCCGGTCAAACCCCGGTCAACCCCGGTCAACCCCGGTCAATTTAAAATTAATAAGTTTTTTCTAACCATGATCAAAATAACAACATAATTAGTTAATTACATCACTCACATCTAGTCTTTACTCTTTAAAAACAATAAAATTGTAAAATTAACAATAATCCAAGAAGATGGAAMATTTAAAACAAGTGTTTTCCAAACATTCAAGCAACACATAAATTGTAAAATTAACAATACTCCAATCCCTCATCAATCGACATCTTCATCGTATCCAATCGTTTGATCAAATCCTTTTGGTTCTCCGTGTTTTTGATCTGAAATAAAAGAATTAAGAATGCAAGTCAGAATAATTACATAATTATTACAACAAACAATTTATATAATTATTACCTTCAATTTCTTTCCTTAGCCAACTTTGGCTGCACATCAAAGCCCCAATTGTTTGCGATTTTAGTCGACTTCG